CATGCAACCCACCTAGGACATTTATCCGGCCCGGAGTTCAATACCTGCCTGGGCAAGATACAGAAACCTCCACCCTCCACCCCTGCCCCACCTTCTTTTTTTTTTTTTTTTTTTTTTTATCCCGTACTATTACTATTTTGTCTGTGTCCTGCAGGTATCCTCAAACTACGGCCGAGGGCCACATGCAACCCACCTAGGACATTTATCCGGCCCGGTGGGTGTTTTTGCCATTGCTGCCTGTCCTGTTTAGCAGCTGACTTGGTCCAGGGGCCTGCAGTCTGGCCCTCCAACTGTCTGAGGGACAGTGAACTGGCGCCCTGTTTCAAAAGTTTGAGGACCCCTGCTAGATAGCACTCTCCCAGTACCTAGGAGAGCCTATTAAAAAGTATAAAGCACAGGGTGGTGCCTGTGGCTCAGTGGGTAGGGCGCCAGCCCCAAACACTGGGGGTGGCGGGTTCAAACCTGGCCCTGGCCAACTAAAACAGCAGTGGCAACTGCAACAAAAAATAGCCCAGCTTTGCGGCAGGCGCCTGTAGTCCCAGCTTTTTGGGAGGCTGAGGCAAGAGAATCGCTTAAGCCCAGGAATTGGAGGTTGCTGTGAACTGTGATGCCATGGCACTCTACCGAGGGCAAGAAAGTTAGACTCTGTCTCAAAAAAAAAAAGGGAAAAAAGTATAAAGCACAAAATATAGTTGTTGAAGAAAGGAATGTGTGACTATTAAAAAATAACCTAAACAAAGTAAAGGCCACTATCATTTAATTGACAAATTATTTTTAATTTCTCTGATCTTTTCATTCTTTACCAATTATTTTTATTCCTTTTTCAGGGCCTCCAAATATGTTAGATTTAGTAGGAATATTTAATTTCTTTTATTTGAAATAACTGAATCAGAAAAAAGATAGTAAATCAGTTGGGTACATTAAGTCTCTGGGACCTGTGATCCCAGTGTCATAAAGGATTCCCTTGTGGTTACAGTGTTGTACTGCTTGTTACCTTGAACCTCCCACCTGAGTCCTTTAGGCTAGAATGTGAGTTCGGAGTCATACATTTCACTGTGTGATGTGGCGGAGAAGGAGAGTGGATCCTGTCATTTTTCTCAGTAAAATACTCGATTGCCCTGGGTAGAGTGCTGTGCCATTACAGCTCACAGAATGGATAGGATGTGTGAATGTGTTTCTCTCAGGGGCCAGGAGGAGGAGGAGAGAGAGATTGAGAGATTTGTATTAAGGAATTGGCTCGTGTACTTGTGGAGGCTTAGTAAGTCCAAAATTTGCAGGGTAGGCTGTCTGCCTATGCAGGAGTCCTCAAACTTTTAAACAGGGGGCCAGTTCACTGTCCCTCAGACCGTTGGAGGGCCAGACTGTGGGCCCCGGGACAAGTCGGATGCTAAGCATGACAGGCAGCAGCAGCAAAAATACCAGGCAGGACTGATAAATGTCCTGGGAAGGCCGCATGTGGCCCGTAGGCCATAGTTTGAGGACACCTGACCTAGAGACTCAAGGAAGAGTTGTAGTTTGGATCCACAAGCAGTCTGCTGGTAGAATTCCTTCCTGGTTAGGGGAGGTCAGTCTTTGTTTCACTAAGGCCTTAAATTAATTGGATGAGGCCCATCTCACTTATGGAGAGCGATTGGCTTGACTCAAAGTCCACTGAATTAAATGTTAATCTCATTTAAAAAAATACCATGTGGGCTAACACTTCTAGACTAATGATTGACCATATAATTTAGGCACCATGGCCTGGGTAAGTTGACGTGCACAGTTCTAGAACATGATAGGAATTTAAGAGACTTAGATCAAATGGTAATTCCTTCCTCATTCTCTCCTAAAATGACACTGTCCATCATGGCTGTACATTTCAGATTGTTCCAAATGCATGACAGTTGTAGTAATGCCTTGTCAGGAGTCTGGTGGTCAGCCATCTGTACCCAGCTATTCCTCTTTATCCATTGATCAATGTTTCTGTAAAAAGTTCTGCATCTCGGCCCAGAGTTGAGCTTATTGCCACTGACTCCTGCAGGGTCTTCCAATAACACCTTCCTTATCTGCCGTGAGTTTTGTTGTGACACTAGTGGGTTAAGCTGTATTGATTTATGTACATCCCTTAGAGTTCGGCTTTCATTCCTATTCTTAGTTTCCCTTCCCCACTTTCGTCTCAGTGGCCCTAATGTCTTAGTGACATGTAGCTCTGTTAGGCCCTTTGGAAGGGCACACTGATACTGATCTTTCTCTTCCTTCTCCTCCTCTTCTCTTTCCCCCCTTCTCCTATTCTTATTAATTCATCTATTGATGGCTTTCCCCTCAGGCCTAGAGTGTACTGTCACAATGTTGTATGAATTCTGACCTGTTCTGTATTTCCTGACATAGAATCATTTTTGGAAGGAGTCTGAGAGATCGTGCAACCTGAATAGCTGGGGCTATAGGCATGTGCTAATTTTTCTGTTTTTTGTAGAGATGGGGTCTTGCTATGTTGTTCAGGCTGGTCTCAAACTCCTAGCTTCAAGTGATCCTCCCACCTCAGCCTCCTTATAGGCATAAGCCACAGCACCCAGCCCATGAAACTTCTAAATAAAATCTTATATGAACTGAAACAATTGACCATAAATTGAAATGATTAAGGGGTAATATGCAGGAGGGTAAAACTATGCTTAAGGGTTTAATGCATTAGTAATGATACTAATCTATTACTATTTATTTATTTTTAACTTAATCTGATTTTTTTTTTTTAATTTTTTTTAGAGACAGGGTTTAGCTCTGTT